GTACCCTCTACTTTCCCGCATATAAAGATTTTTTTTAAACTACTACAGAAAAAGTAGAAGTGTGATATATTCCTCATACATCATATAATGTTTTGATTTTCCAGGCTTCAAGATCTTTTGAAACGCGAATCATCCAGATATTTTGGAGTAAAATTTTTTGTATAACTAACACTAAACTAAAATACCGGAGCTAACACCAGCATAGATACCTGCGTAAGATTTCGATCTCGCGAACGAAATCTTGGTGCTCGATCTGACTTCACGTGCCTTACAATCTCCACCGTCCTTATCGGAGGAACGAGCTGATTATGGGCAACATCTGTGCATCCTCTCCTTCAGACGGATGCCATTGATTATCTCCTTTCTCAGGAAACCCCAATGGTGCATGCAAATGGCATCCCCGCATCACCAACATGTCGGCCACATGCCAGCCACACGGCGTTGACGGGGAATCTGTTTCTCTTTTACGTACTACTAATCATATGGGTACTACCGATACGGATGAGATGCAAAGTTTTGTGTGAGAAGTTGCTAAAAATGCATCACCATCACGCCGTGCTTTTCGTATTGACATGCATAATCTCGATGTTCCCGTCCTCAATCTAGTCAGGCTGATTATCAGACCGACCAACTATTTATTACATGCGTAGTTAGGTCCGACGAAGGGAAAAGTGTCGTTGTCCTCTCAACGTTTATTTAAGCTAGCAGAATTGCCCGCCGTTGTCGAATGGAGCTGACCTGGATGATTTCTGCACACGCTATTTCCTTGGTTCTATCTATCATTGATATTGCAGTTTGGAGCCAGACCCAAGCTGTGGTTCTTTTTCGTTGTCATCTTTTGCAACCAGCTTCGGTTGGATTTGAAAGATGGTCCACACAACGTTGCTTCAGCGAGACGCCGTGCTATTCCTGGGCTCATGTCATTGGCAGCCTATACTGGATACTAGCAAGGGGCTGCTATGTACCGAACGCAATATGCATATTTGTTGCTTTTCATAACAAGATTACCTGTTAGTCCTTGGATTGCGGCCATAGAGTTAACAATGGAAGTGTTGAAGTAGGAGGACAATGTAAAATTTGCGGGTAGTATTCAAGAATGCGAGCATAAAAAGGGTTACTACTACTATACGGATTTGAAGGCGAGTGAGAAGGGTTGGAAGGCACTGTTTTAAGTACGTTGGCTTTATCCTCATTTTTTTTCCAAAAAAAAGGGCGGCACCAGGTTCGACTTCCATATGCGAAGGGAGATCGTAATGGCGGTCAATCGGATACCTGTCCATGGCCACCTATATCCGCCTGAAATACAGTAGGTTTGTCCTGCGTAGAATAGTACTTAAGTTGTGTTCAGCAGCTATTTTTTATGATGCCTGTGCATGGCCCAATGAATCCATACAAACATCTCCAAGTTGATGCTGCTAGGAATTCATCTGTAAGGAACCTGTCCCTATTCTTCAAGTCAAATCTGCAGCAAACTCTCGCTTGTCTCTTTCCCACAGCGGTCACTGCAAGTCAACCGGAGCGTATACACTGCTCCAACTTGAAAGGATATTTTATGTATACAATAGCAGTGTAAAATAAATCACACCCTCCAGTCAAATGCCGTTACCATCGACATTGTAGGCAAACACATGAGGAAAGGGGAAGAACTCATCCCCAGGTGTGTATGGACATATATGTACAGTACATGGACTGTACTCCGCACAATCAACTTCACATTCCGCAGCTTCTCCGGAAGAAATCATTTGATGCAGAAAGAACCGTCGCATCTGAGTCGAACATGGCGGGGGTGATGGGAATTCTTCCCTTCTTCTGATAGCAGGAGTACCTAAGATAACTAGGCCATCCCCCCCAGACTTCAAGAGCGAGAGATACATACAGCTCGGGTGTCAAAATAGACTCCGAGAAATTAAACTCCTTGAACCCTGCCAAGCGCGGACAGTTAACAGTTAAGCTTTTGCGCGGACATGGATACAGTCGGTTGGTTGCCTCAAAGATATTTTGAAACTCCTTGCGACATATTTTGCACGACATTGCTTGCGATATGATTTGCTGCAACATCTAGCATTTTTAAACGTTTTCTTCAACCTCCAATCGCTTAGTCCTAGTCCAGACAATATCGAATTCCAAACACACTAGTCTTATCAGGCCTAGCTTGTACCACATGTCTCTTCATTGTAGGGAAGTTCTTTAAGTTAACTGGTCACGAAGATAGAATAATCATGCAATTGATCATTTCAACCCTCTCACAATGGTATCGCAAAGGAGATGGCGGTATAAGGTTATCGCTGCTTGTTTCATTTCGTTATGTTACCTCTACTACATCAGCTTGCCAGAGTCCCCGACAACCTTTTTAAATATAATAACCGAGCCGCTTGCCGAGGAGCCAGGGACACAATCATGCTATGATCCGTCTCCAACATACAAGCCGCCTAAAAACAACCGATTTAAATGGAGAAAACTCCGCATCAAGCATCCTGTCACTTCTTTTATTGAGCTGCCAACAGCAGCGCCATCTCCACTGCCTTCAATCCAACATGCATTTGAAGTGCACTCGGGTAAGAGCGCGGCATTGCAAGCCCAGCGCCAAGCTGAAGTGAAAAAAGTGTTCCAGAGGGACTGGGACTCCTACAAAAAGATGGCATGGCTCAATGATGAACTCTCCCCCAAATCTGGAAAACCTAAAAACACTTTCGGCGGCTGGGGGGCGACCCTCGTTGACAGTCTGGATACGCTCTGGATCATGGGCTTGAAAGATGAGTTCGAGGAGGCCGTTGCTGCGGCGGCTTCCATCGATTTTAGTCCAGATAGTACGAGTGACGGGATCATCAATATGTTTGAAACAACTATACGATATCTCGGCGGACTTCTCTCTGCCTATGATTTGACCGAATGCAAAGATAGACGATTGCTCGATAAAGCTGTCGAGATCGGGGATATGATATATGCTTCTTTTGACACGAAAAATAGAATGCCCGTAACGCGCTGGAGCCCATATAAAGCGATGAAGGGGATTAACCAATACCCTGCCGAGAGAGGCATCATCGCTGAAGTCGCATCGTCGAGCATGGAGCTCACTCGACTCTCCCAGTTAACTGGAGACATGCGTTGGTTCGACGCGATCCAGCGTATCACCAATGTCCTGGATCAGCAGCAAAACAAAACATATCTTCCAGGCCTCTGGCCTGTGGGCTGCAGCCCTCTTTCTGGCGAGTTCGCAGGCGACTCAACTTTCACTCTTGGATCCATGGCCGACTCAGCGTATGAATATCTGCCAAAGATGTATGCCTTGCTTGGTGGAACGGATGCCGCATCTCAGTATGCAAGGCTGTACAGTCACGCCATGAACACCGCGATGGAGTACCTTTTTTTCCGGCCGTTGGTTCCGGATAATGCCGACATTCTTGTCTCTGGCCAGACGCGTGCTCAAAGACCTTCGTCCGCCTCTCTCGAGACAGAAGGCCAGCACCTCACGTGCTACCTCGGAGGCACACTTGCACTCGGGGGCCGTCTGCTGTCCAACAAAACTCACGTCGAAGTAGGCCGCAAACTTACCGACGGCTGTATCTGGACTTACCGCAACACCCCAACAGGTCTAATGCCTGAGCTGTTCAGAATGCAGGCGTGCAGCTCACCCTCAAGCTGCGAGCTTGACAATCAGCAGTGGGAATCTGACCATGGCCAAAGACACCCTGGTTTCACACACATCACAGATGGCAATTACAGACTCCGCCCCGAAGCAATTGAGAGCATCTTCTACCTCTATCGCATCACGGGTGACCCGAAACTTCAGGACGTGGCCTGGGAGATGTTTCAGGCCGTTGAGAAGCACACGCGTACAGATCTGGCGCACGCTGTATTGAAGAACGTCATGGATCCAGAGCTGGGAACAGAGGATAGCATGGAGAGCTTCTGGTTTGGGGAAACGCTGAAATATTTCTATTTGATCTTCAGCGATCCGAGCTTGATCAGTCTGGACGAGTTTGTTTTTAACACAGAGGCGCATCCTTTTAGGATTCCCAGGCCATGATTGGAGCGTGCCTTGCGTAAATGTATATATAGATATAAATTTCCGTCTTTGTTCAAATATATATAGAGGGGCAATGGGTCTATAAATAAGGATGTGACGGTGAGAGTTGGTAGCGACTGAATCCTTTCGGACGAAAGGCCGGAAGCACAGACATCCCATGTTTTGGATATTTGGGTTTACAAATCTATATCCATCGTGCTTTTGTTTTATATATTTATAAATATATATACTGTATGTATATATCTATATAGTGATTGACTATTAAACTCTTATTCTTTTCCTTTGGCAGCAGATCTTCAATAGCTGATCTACGCTTGATAATATAATATATATAGTTGATCTAATGAGGTTAAAACTTGAATTATAGTTCAGGATAGATATCTATCTGTCCTTGGCATTATGGAAACAAGCTACAGAATACATATAACGGACAACGCATTGCTTCCATGACCCGACAGTCTGCTGCTTGTTTTATGATTGGCAATTGATACAGGCGCTTTTACCCAGTTAATTGTGCTCTACTTGCATGTGTATGCTTTTAGAGTGTATTGCATTTCTATGAGTATGCATGCTCGAATATAGCCAGTCAGGGTAGGGTATATGGTGTATTATCTATGGATGATAAAATCCTGAGAAGTGAAATGGCTCTGCTTTTCATGAATATTAAATTCTGTTTAGGACGGATATTACAAAGGTAGCGTGTGACCGTATCAGTAGAAAGAATGAATAGAAAGTTAAGCATAACCAGTTCAAGCGTAAGTACAACTGTCAGAAGTGATATATCATATCTCAGATTCTACTGATTACATTAGCAAGGATCTTCTATTGTGACAATATCGGAAACCGGATGGATGTTCCGATAAGATATCAGCACTGCCCCTATCATATGTTCAAGCATCTTCTTTCTTATAAATACTGCCTAGATATCATGTAATTACTGGAGTTAATATAAGAAATTCAATTATTCTTTTGATATTCAGTATTTGGGTCAATATTCGGACTTTATCTATTTCCGACAACAACCTACACTCTATGTAGTCTAACAGAGAGTACATAGTAGCTACATTTAACATCCTTGCTGTTTGGATCTTATAGGGTATCCAGCTGCAATTCTTTGAATACAGTCATTCTTGCTGTTGAGTCCTACCTAGGCAATGAGGTCAAGAGGGAGGCGCTGTTGATACACATACATGCTAGTATTCTGCAATAGCCAATCCTGGCAGGCCTTTATTGTTTCATGTAGATAACATAACCATACTTCACCCTGTCTCCTTGCCCGACTGGAAGCTGTATAATCCTTTGAGTTTTCGCTGAGAGAGTGTGGTTTGCCTCCCCATCCTTTCCCCGAAATTCGTTGGCTCAGGACATCGCTGGCAAAGACGAATGCAACTCTTACTCGGGGCTTAGTGGCCCGGTAGTTTGGTTCCACCACACTTTGGTACACTTTGTAGGCACGTTGAGCCACTGTTTGTTCGACACTCGAGCCATGAACGTTCCTTCGGTGATGACCCGGGCCAATCCGGGCCAATGATGTATTCTGGAGGTTGAAACCTCCCAGGCCCTAGTCGTGGCCTTATCTCGGACGAAAAGCCAGCGTGGAAAAAGTATACACTAATAAAAAATTGATTCTATCAAGAGATAAATGATAATGTGGTTCTCTGATTGATTATTGGGTTAAAACAGCTAACTCTTCATGCAACGTCTGAGGTATTGAGATAAGTCGAGACTGCACATAAGTTACAAAGCTAACATCACATGATACGTACACACACCCGACATCACTCGAAGGATTGCTCTGTTAAGTGATTTCCATGCTGTGTCACAGCGCAAGCAGCTATTTTCTCAGGCTGCTACGTATATCAGTGCTGATCTGACGCTACTTGCAAGTTACATTGCCCTTCCTTCGGAGTATGCAGAAGATTTCAGCTGGATTTAAGCCAGTCTAACTAGTCAACGGCATGGCGACACGCTAAATGAGCTTATCTCCACCATCCCTGACCGAATGGTGCGGTGCATCATGCATGCGACCATATGTGCAAGGATAGAGAGGGATTGGAGGCGGATCTTAGGTTGACGGGTTCTCAGTACAATTGGTGTTGTAAGTTTGCTCCTTCTGTTCGTTTGTGTGTGCGTGTTTGATTTGAAACTTGAATCTAAGTATAATGGTTTTTCATTATTAGTGACCGTTTTCTTTTTCCCTTATGCTTTCTTTGAGCTTCCTCCAAATCTCATTCAGGCCAGGATGAGGCCATCGATATGGCTTCCTTTAGTTATGATTGCGTGGGGACTGGTAATGGTTAGTCTAAGTGACCATTTGGACGCCTGATCTCTCCCGACATGTCTCAGGCGTGTTTGCTCGTCGTGTGTGTATGTGTTTTAATCCCGTTTGATAGACCTTGATGGGAATCGTTCAGAACTATCACGGCCTTTTAATCTCTCGAATATTTCTTGGTCTTGCTGGTACGGTGAACCTTCTCCCTTCGCCTTCTTTTCTTCTACTTTTTCCATGTTAAGCCGTATCGCAATTATAGAAGCTGGTCTTTACCCGGAAGTAGCGTTCTACATTACTAAATGGTATTGTCGACATGAAACTCAACTCCGACAAGCTTTATTCTTCAGCGCGGCTAGTGTAGCTGGTGCGTTCTCCGGTTTGCTCGCCTTCGCAATTGCGGTAAGTTCACTAGGTCTCTATGCGCATTTCATCAGCCGCCTATTTTACTAAATTAAATGAAGAGAATGGACGGTATTGCCGGATTGGACGGCTGGAGGTGGGTTTTCGTCCTAGAAGGCATCCTCACAGTAGTCGTCGCTGTTCTGGCCTTCTTTTTCATCCAAGACTATCCGGTCACCGCTACATTCTTAACAGAGAAGGAAAACGCTTGGGTTATCCACAGGTTGAGATCTCAGTATTCCGATACCGCCGTAAAAACGGAAAAATTCCAATGGAAATACGTCAAATTTGCATTGTTGGATTGGAAAATTTACCTATCCCTAATCAGTATTGCTGCCCAGTTCCCCTTGTGTCTCTGTTTAATTTTCAAGTCTCTAACAAATTAACCCCAATTAGCCTGGTACGGGATTGTATGCCCACTCTACGGCATTTCCTTCTTCTTACCGACAATCATTAAAGACCTGGGTTATACTTCTTCGACGTCTCAGCTTTTGACGGTAAACTCCTTTGTTATCGAAATGCCTTATCGTCTTCAATGAAAAGTCTAATGTTAATTATGCTAGGTTCCTATATATATATTTTCGCTGCAATAATTTCAGTTTTATCCGCTTGGCTGTCAGATCGACAAGGGCAACGCTCACTTTTACTTTTCTTCCATGTTCTATGCATTGTTGTTGGCTACACCATCATCATCTCAGGTTCAGCGAGAGGCTTTCCAGGTGTTGTCTATTTTGGGACATTTGTGGTCGTATCTGGTGAGTTTTATAGATTCCAAAGCAACTTCCTCTCTTTTCAAGGCGATTATGCGGGTGAGTTGTTAATTGCGATGATGTTTCAGGTATATATCCTGCTCTTCCGGCTATTGTTACATGGCTGAGCAACAATATGGCCGGTGACTATAAGAGCGGCCGGAATGGCGATACAAATTGGAGTTGGGAATTTTGCTGGAGGTACGTAGTACACGATAATGAGAAAAGGAAAAAGAGAGAGACAGAAAAGCATGAAACGTACATCCGCACAGATCTCTTAACTGAATTTTTTCCCCAATCTAGCCATGGCTTCGAGCCTCTACCGAACACAAGACGCACCGACATACTATCTAGGCCACGGCCTAGAACTCGGGTTGGCCTTTTTCGGCCTACTCGCTATCATCGACCTCCGAGTTTCCTACCAGATCGTCAATAAGAAGAGGGAAGCACAGGCTCTTGGGGCCAACTATACACCCGACGAACTCCACCAACTGGGTGATCGGGCGCCAACTTTCAAGTACATGTTATAGGGAAGGAGTCGTTGTTTTTCCGTGTTGTCTCCTTCTTCTCCCTTTTTCCCCCGCCTTTGCTCAATTATGTCATACCTACAAAGCCACAGAAATGGTAATGTGCATGTACATATACATGTACGATGTCGGATTCTGGAGGGAGGTGTTTGTGAAGACTTAAGGTACTTTTGCATATCCACAATGATAATAAGACATGATACCACAATGAGAGAGCATTGGCCTATATTCCATTTCTAAAGGAATAGCATTAACTCACACGGGCTAATTTGTGTCCCGTTGATGCAATTTTGGTAATTGTTGGATATTACTGCAATATTGTTACCCCACAGTTAAAAATGAGTGGAAAAAACGCTGCCTGCAAAGTCGCGCGCTGGGCTGGGACAAGAAACAAAATACGTATTCGCACCAGTCAGTCCTACTAGAGGTGGTTTTCTATCCCTCTCAAAGGAGCTATATGCACACAAAAATGGCACACCGGGAAGAAGAATAGGCACGGTTGGGCTAGTGAGCATAATGGTATCTAAAGCGTTATTGGTCGTTTTTCATCGCATTTTGATAATTAGTACGGAGTATATGGGAATGCAAGCAGGAACTTATACATAATTCCGAATGACCATTTCGTCCGCCTCCTGAAATGTCCTTTTATCTTGTCTCGAGGTTAGCTAGAGACACTATTCGACCATTGCTAAGCCTTGTAGTGAATACAGCTTTTGGCTCAATTAGAGCCAGATATATCAGAAGCGGTTCCTCAACGGGCTCACACGGAAGCAATGTCCAAGTCATGATCGGTTTTGTAAGCCAGTTTGCTGTCACTGGGCCCAGGAATGCCGTTTTTTTTTTTTTTTTTTTTTTTTTTCCTGGAAAACGGAATTATCCGGGGCCATCGCGCTACCAACAACCAAGTACGGTTGTTCAGAGCGCTGTTTCACTTCTGAAAAAGGGCATGGATTTTTGACTGTGTGGCTTGTCTCCTCTACTCGCCCAAATCGGCCAGGTTGACTCGCAATCACTTGGTCTTACCATTTTCCAGCGGCATAACCGCGCAAGTGTCCAGGGCTCGCCACGGTGCGAGCTTTATTCGACTCCCAGCAATTGGGTGGTATAAAGTTCGATGATTGATTCCAGCAAAATAATGGAGCAAAGTTCGAGGTCCCCACTCAGGGTGGGCGAGAAGTGCTCCTAGATGAGGATAGGCTCCAGTGGGTCCTTAGTCTTCAGAATATGACTCGTCTGGTTGCAACAATGTCAAAATTCGAAAGAAAAAGGATTTGGTGGGCAATTGATGCCAAAATATTTTTGTTTGTCAAGAAACAACAACTTGATGAGCTGAAACTCTTGCAGGCGGACTTCGAAGCGCGATTGTGGGCGACATGAGAAGTTGAAGCTGCATTGTCTTTAGTCGTCCATCCTAATAATATCCACATTGTGGCTATTCATCTTCTCGGGGAAGGTTATCATGGCATCCCACGTTTCTGCTGATTGAGAACGTCAATCCACTAAACGCCCTGCTCGGGCCACTAGATGTTGAGAGATGCAACGCTGTTATTCATCCTGGACGGGTGGGTGTGACTAACTACTCACTCCCTAACGTTTATACGTATGGGGTACGATCCACCGTGATCAACATTATTGTTTCCCTGGAAAGATGCAATCCCGGGGCCCAGACCGGATTTTCTTTTCCAAGATACAGAGCAAATTCGCTGGATGTTTTCGGGAAAGGGAAGACGTGCGTAAAAAAAACCACCTATCTCCGATCACCAATCGATATGTGAGCCCTAAGTGAGCTGAAAGCCGAACAAAGTTGCAGCAAGCGGGGCGGTGGGCCATTTCAGAACTTCAAACCAATGGTCTGCGAATAAATACTCCTATTCCAAAATCAAGATAGCTTCAGAATCTACTTGGAACGTTAATTTAAAGGGTTGAGATCCCTGGCCGGCAGGAGATAATCGGTGGTAATCACTGTGGCCAACATCCCTTCCAGTCAGACCCTTATATAATTGACTAATAATAGTGACCGTCCTTCGGTAGTTGGACGCGGCGCTCAGTACCGCCATCAGGGAAAGGTTTTGTCATGCTTTAGTGACTGGCTAGCAACAGCGTGGTGGCTGGCAGTTTAAAAATTTCTGCGTCCTCCCCGAATATCTATCTAGTCCCTGACAGCTCAAGAACGGCATCACTTGAAGGGGTTGCACTACCAGGTCTTCATCCTGTTCATCCAATAACGGACAACTGAACGCTGATTTGTTCAATGTGAGAACGTAACTATTGTTGAAGCCATATTCAACCTACATACCTCATCCATCAGTGCTGATGTCTCAGAGTCTTAACCTCCACGATGGGGGTGAAAAGATGTCATAAACAAATGACGGTCGGCGTTCATCGGAGTGAAAGGCACTAAGCAATATGAGGGATTCATCGATGCTGAGACAACGCGACTGGGGAGGTGCCCGACTGGTTTCATGTTCAACCGCTGCCCCCCTTGTTGAACGGGATCTCTGATTTTTCGGCCCTACGGCCCCCGGCAAATAATTATTTCAAATAGTAGGAATGGCGAACGGTAGTATTCCGTATGACAAGCCTTAATATCCTCCCTGGTCACATTGGTTAGCCGTGGACCCTGGACAGGGGCTTGCATCCAGCAAGGACCAACAAAAACAAAACTCAAGATGAGAAATAAAAAATAAATAGGGCAGATAAATAAACGAAGAAGGAAAGAAAATAAAAATAAATAAACCCAAATAAAACCAATTAAAAAAATTAAAAATAAAATAAACATCGAAGTCTAAAGAAAGTTAAATGATATCATACGGCCGTATGGGATCAATTTAAAGCCATGTTGGTTGGCCCCCGTCGTAAAACGAGGTTGAACCCTCATCAAAGATTGACATCAGGTCGCGAAGAGACGGCAAGACATGCTGCGTAGGGCTGCCGGGAATTTGAGGGGTGCTGATATCGAATCCCCGAGCTCGACGCATGATGACTGTCTACTCTGTACGCCGGTCTGCAGCTTAAATCACTTTAAGACAGGCGATCCTGGACAGAAGATACTAGCACCTCCTGTTGTCTTGAACGAGCTGTCAACCAACGCCCATTACTCTTCTCTTCCCTCATGGAGTGCCGACTAAACATGCGCCTGATGCTGTTTGAAGAAAATGCTACTCCTGGTTGAAATGAAGGTTTCCTGGGCGGATAGCTTTCTGTATGATTCGGCATTCCAACCACGAGGCTAATGAAACGTTCCATTCGCCAGAACGGACTTAACTAGGTGAATTATTGCGGGCGAAGGGGCTAAGCCTTGGGCTGAAGAGTTTAATGCCAACTCAATAGCGTGGGACTGGGCGTCTAGTCTCGATCGAGGGACCCGAGTTGGAGGACATCATCTAACTAACAGCTTCTATTCTGTACTGATTGATATATTTGACTGATTGACCTCCTGCTGCCCTTCGGCATCGCCAAAGCATAACTCCCAGAAGAACCTCAAGCTCTATTCATTTTGACACCTGCCCGCCACCTCAACGCTGTGACTTCTTGCGTTGCGACTCCCGTCTGGAAGCTTCTCTTTTTGCGCTCAATCAGAGCCCTCATCGGGTGCCTGTTTTAGGGACTCGGACCCTTTACTGTGTGGTAACTACGCAAAACTCTTCAATATTGCTTCCCCCCGTTGGGGAGTGGCTGCAGAAATGGACTTTACCTACTATATCCCGCCGTTTCAACAACAATACATGCCACTTCAAATACCGCATCCGCAGCAAACCGAAGTTGCTCAGCATACCCAATTTCAACCCAGACCCGGGGTGGTAAGTCAACCTCCACATGCACCTCCATAACGCGGTCTCGGCACCCGTCCGTTGTGCACTTGCTAACACGGCGGCTAGGAGCATTTTGATCCTGGTTTCCAACAATTTTTTGATGCCCAGATGCATTTTGACGCTTCCGGTCTCATGGGAGCGCATTCATCGCCTTCTCCAGCTCACTATACGAAACATATAATTAATTCCCAAGTTAGTGATTGTGGTGGCATCAATAGCAATAGAATTGAAGACTTTCAAACGGACAAGACGTTACCAAGGAGCAGCAGTGAAGAAAAGGAGACGTTGACGCCGGCCCAATGCAGGCGCAAGCAACAGAACAGAGCTGCGTATGTAATCCCTTTTTCTAATATCTAGTCATACTTCAACTTGTTTATACTGGATCCTGTCGCATTATATATAATTCAATGCTAACTTCAACTTGGCAACAGCCAACGGGCCTTTCGCGAGCGGAAAGAACGCCGCGTACGTGACCTTGAACAGGAATTGAATCGATACAAGAGCAACTATTCGTCACTCATGGAAGATCACAAAAGCCTAAAAAGACAAATAGAAAAGATTGATACGGAGAATGAAATGCTTCGAGCAACATCGAACAACAACGTGCAGCGACCGATCGCTGATTATGGGCCCAATGAAGTGCCCCCGCCAACAGGTTTCTTGAGGAATTTAGCGGAGTATTCTACATGCGGCGCAGATAAGAGCGAGCTTGCCTCTAGCCCTTCTAGTAGTAACAAGGGTCCGGGGGAGAAATTGCTAGATGCAGCCGCGACGTGGGATCTGATCGTGCGTCATTTGACAAGTCGGGGGATGAATTTCGATATCCAGACCATATACGACAGGTTGAAAAGCTGCACCGTACTTGACGGACATTGCCTCGTTGTCGATGAAGCACATGTGCTTCAGGCTATTGAGGAGAGTGTTTCGGCAGGGAGTGATGAGCTGATCTAAATTTGACCTACTGACATGCCCACAAACACTTGCTCTGAGTTTGCTTTGGAGCCTCATCAAGAAAAATCGGTCCAAAA